AAGCAGCTGGAAATTTTTTTTTTTTTGGTAGTGGTAGTATTTATTTATTTTTGGGCAGCAGCAACTTGTGTTCACTGATTCTTGGTACTTGGAATGTGTGAAGCAGGTCCATCCTTTGAGAGGAAAGGAGCTCAAATATGGCGAACAGTGTCACCTGTACTAGGTGACATTAGTCTTAACTCTGAACTATGGTTAATATTCATTTTCAGTCTGTGACCTACAGTACATCATCTAATCCCAACTTCTTTTGGTTTCCCACCGGGTAGATGAACAACTCAAGGCTTCTCTCATTTTTCCCCCCTGCCATCCTCTGTCAATTATTAAGATTAAGGCTGTCCCAGGGTAGCCCTGCTGTTTTGTTCTCTAGTGTCAGCTAGGCTTGATCGTGGCTCCCAAGAGTAAACATCCTACCATGCAGGCAGCTGCCTGTATGCATTTCAAGTTACCCAAACTTACCTATAAGCAGGATGCAGCTGGCAGGCCACTAACTGGGGTGGCTGCTATGAGTTGTACAGCCGTGGTTTATGCTGCGGCCATTATATGGCTTGTCTCTCACTGCAGGCACGGAGTGCTCTTCTGTGTGAAACTACCGAGCTGATAACAGCTCCAATGGCTTTCTGATGAGATGGAGAGTTCTGTAACTGTGTAGAAGTACCTCTCGGGGTTGCTTGGGGTCAAGCTTTTACATGCTCCCCTTGACTAAGGTGGGGACACAAGCAGAGCCCGGCCAGAACCCTTCCCACTGCTGACTGCCTATGTCTGCATGCCAAAGCCTGTAGGTGTAAGGGTGAACTCATATACCTTCTTCCTCTGGACCATTTTGATCAAGCTTTATTTGATTTTTACAGAATTCTTCCCTTTTGTTTTTGTGACTGTCCTTGAATCTAGCCTGTCTCGGTGCTGTCTGCTCAGGCACTTGAAGAGAGACCACCCGAGCCAGTCACTGTTTTCAGTGAAATATCCTCAAGATATTTCTTTGCAGATTCAGTTTCTTGACACCTTTTTCTCTATTCAAATGCATAAAAAGGGTTTGTGTGACATTCTTTCATGAGCTACTAATTGCTAGAATTATCCATCTGCTTTTGTAGTTTAATGACATAACTCCCTGGCTTGGGTTTGGACTAACAACAGTAAAAAATGGAGTTTTAATACTTGCACAGAAGGTTGTAGTACTAAATGTTGGTGACAACCCCTCCCCGTGTTCCTGTGTATGGGATTTGTTGCCATATTTAGTGAAATTTATCAGGACAGCCATATAAAATATGGAGAAATCTGCTTGAGCTAATTGGATGCTTGGTGTTATTTTTTGACAGAATGTTGTTTTTTGATGTTGCCTGATTGCCAGGGACAGGTCAGATCAGTGGTTTCAGAGAGACGCGGAGAGGCCAGCTGTGGACTTCACTGTAAAATGGAGATGAGCATTGGGGGGGGGGGGGGAATGAGGCATCTGAGTCAACTACTGTGCAGCTTAATAGTTCCCTGTCCAACTAGTACTGTGCTGTTGAGAAAGCTGATAGACTATTTCAGCAAGCTCTGCTAACTTGTCTTTAAAGATTTTTGTATAGTGCTTGCTTCTTTTCTACTTGACCTAGTTTATGTGCATGTTGAGTCACTACCTACATTAAAAGCCTTCATTCTCCTACTTCTTTGATGGATTTCTAGTGCATTGGGTCACCGTTCCAGACTACTGTTTTGTTTATTTATTTGTAATCATGTCTCCCATGTAAACTGCTTCAGAGCAAATTCTTATTTTTTCATTAGTTTTATCCTTCCCTGGAACATTAGTCTGGGAAAATGTGTAATGGCTATCTTCAGCCGTTCTTCCTCAAGGACTGAGAACTCTCTTATGACTATGGACTGAGTTTTTTGGTGAAATACGTCTATGAGGACTTTTCTGCCAGGAAAACTAATCCAAAATGCAATAGCAGTTTTGAGGCCGCAGAAAATTAATGAGCTTGGTAAGTTCAGAGAAGAAAAACAGATCTCTAGTAAAAGCAAACACAGCTTTCAAGGCACTTAGCAGAGATACAGAGCATTTTAAGTAATACAGATAAATATCTCCCTGGAGCTTTTGCTTTTTCATCTAAGTACAGATCAGAGAACAAATAGGAAAATGTGGGGAGGAAAAAACAAAAGCTTTAAAGATGTCAATGAACATTTTTCAAGCTGAAAATTACTTCTAGCAGTGAAAATAACAGAAGATGCATAAGGCAAAAGAAGTGAAGCTATGCATAAAATAAGGGAAAAGAATGAGATCAGAGGGATGCAAAGAAAGTTTTGAATTAAGTGACTGCAAACTCCCTCCTTATAAATGATTTATTTTTATTTGTTCTTGAAAAACATTTCTAATTTGTTTTTTGTTGCTGTACTAATACAGTGAAAGTTGTTCATTCCTATCAGACAAATGTTTTTCAGACAGTGTATGAGCAAAAAGTGATACTTTAATGCTCTTTAAAAAAACAATGAAGTGCAAAACCATGGTAATTCTGCACAAAATGATAATATCAGTGGCATTCCAGCTGTTTTTGAATTTTTTATTAATGTGTTAGGTCTTAGCCCCAGAACTGCTTTATATGCAATCTGTACTACTGGCATGTATTTGGTAGAGAACTTCTGTATAATGATATGATGTGTCAGAGCAAAGCTATGAGAATGCTTGATTTTTTTGGTGAAATGTCACTTCAAGTTGAATGGTTGGGTAGTTAGACACTTCCACAGAAAACTCCGCTTTAATCATAAGCTCATATGCACCTCCGTGTCCTGAACTGCCATCGATATTGAGTGGAGTTCCAGGTTTAGACAATGAATATGTCTTTGCTATGTTGTGCGTATTTATCAAATTCAAAGCATAAACAGTCAGTATTTCGTTCAAAAATAGCTCATACTGCAGTCATTTTGATGTCAAGTTACTGCAATGAACTGATAGCTGCTACACTGAATTTACACCTCACCGTGTTATTAGAAGTAATCAAGCGATGCATCCTTAACAACACATCACATGTAATAAAAGCATTGATGAGGATAATCTTTGCAGGTCTTGCTGTAACCTGTGATAGCACTTGTATTACTGGGGAGCTTTGCTTTCAGGTAATAATAACCTAATGAACCCTTAGGCACCTTTTCTTGGTCCGTTGACCAATTAGGTTCATAGGATGCACTTGCATTATGAAGTGAAATGAGGGTTCAAGAACAGGTGTATGTGTCCCCAGACTCTGACTTGTGTTTTTCCTATCCAAGCTGTACAAGATCAAGCTCAAAAGTTTTTTTTCACTTGTTTTGCAAAAATTTTGAGTATGACATCATGTATAACTTGGACAGCCAAGACTGTCACCAGGAGTGCAGATAGCAATATCTGTGGTTTCACTTCATTCAGTTCTACTACTGTAGCCATGTCAAATCTGTTAAACTAAAGTTGGTAGTTACATTGGCTGTTGTTCTCTGCACCATCTTTGTGTTAGCTACTTACTTCACGCATAGAAATCTTTGTGAAGCCCACCTCTTTGTCATGGAAACTGTTGTCCTAGCAGTTGCTAATCCAGATGAATATGTCTGTAACTGTTTTCTTCAATCATTTTTCACAGATTGAAAGAACAGAAATTTTATGCTCAGTAGCCTATGTTGGTATGGGATGAGTGAATGATTGGTCAACATGCCACTGAAGGGTAGTTGCTAATACCTTGAGGACACCTTAGGAAAAGGTTCCTGCCTATGAAACAGATGAAGTGCCATTTTCTTCTGTGCAAGGAGCATAAATGCTGTATTTTTATTTCTCTCAGGCTTATGCTTATATCTTGAGACTTCAATGCTTGTTCTAGCTACAGACCACTAACCCACCATTATCTGTTGCTTATTTGGGGCTGTGCTGAGCAGAATGGCCCTCCTGTGGTAATAATGGATACTTCTGTAGCAAACGCCCTTTTATTAAAAAATAAATAAATTTAAAAAAAAAAATGTGTGGACAAAGAGGAAGGTGAATGTTTTCCCCAAAGGCTGAGAGTTTCCTTGGTCTGATAGGATTTGGTAAATCCTAATCATTAAGGTGTGAATTGGTAGACATGAGCTTGTTACCTAGTCAAGTTTACTGTCAACGCTGCAGTAAATGAAATTGTGTTTGCATCATCTCTGCCCTGTGCCTTTTTTCAGAGCCTGTTTTCTTACTCTTATTTGATTTTTTCTTTGTAACATAAAGAGTTGTTGAATTTTTAAAAAATCATACTTTCCAGTCTAGAAAAAGACACAATCATTTATGGTAACAAAACATGAATGGAGAAAAATTATCTGAAAAATGGCCATGCACCAGGGTGGAATTGTGCCCTGAAATTGCCTATATAGTTTCCTTGTCTTTTTTTCCTCTTATGCTGTGTTATAGTGTCCCTCACCCCAGCCAAGCTCATATAATTGATGCAATGCTGCTGAGGATCTTGTGGTCTATACCAATTTGTTCTTGTTGTTGTTGCAGTGATCACTGATGGGGCACTGGATAAGACAGCTCTAACAGACGATGTGGGAAGTGAGGAGGACCTGTATGAGGACTTCCGGAGCTCCAACCACCGCTACGGCCACCCTGGGGGAGGTGGAGAACAGCTTGCCATCAATGAGGTATTGCACTGGTTGGTTTCTGACAGGCAGGATAAGGAAGGGTGCCGGTTCTTGTTGTGAACTGTAAGAAAGGTCAACAATCAAACCGATAATGGCAAAGTGGATGAGACTTCAAATGTCATTTACTGTGGGTACCACTTACAACTGGGCAATGACAGGGTCTGGGCTTTCCATCAGGGCACTGTCCCTAGCAGGAGAGGACAGCAATGCAGGGTAATGCAGAGCCACAGATCCTGAGCAGGTAACTCTCCTCTTAGGTGTTTTTGAATGGGAAGTTTAAGCCATTAATGAGCAGCCTGGTCAGGGCTGGTGTGAGACTTGAAATGTGGTGTACTGAAGGCATAAAGGAAATGCTGAAAAAAACGTGGTCTCCATACGTCTTTATTGGTAGATGAGAAGGGTGCGAAGTTTAATGTAGGCTTGATCTTTACTGCTTCTTCCTGTTCCCCAGTAAATTCACTCTAGGGCTGTGAAAGGCATGCCTGTTTAGTCAGTGCTTTTAGATATTTTTTTTTTATAGTGCTGATGCTGATTAACTTGAGATCAGCAATTTAAAAATGTACTACTTAGTTTAATTGATGTGATGAGCAACGCATTAACAGGATTTAAGATTTTTTCCTATAAAAATACCATTACTTTGTCTAATGCATTAGAACTGGTGTCCTGTTACACACAGAATGCTTTTTTGGGGGAGTGAACTAAAGCTTTTTTCACTGGAAGAATGGAGCATGTTCACCATGAGTGATTTCTTGCACTCTTATACCTTCTTTCTCCTTTCCCTATACTCTGTTACCTTTATATGACCTGTAACAAGATGAAAAGGCAAGGATAAAAGATGTATTATATTTTCTTGTGGTTAAGGTATAACTGAAATGATGTTGACTGAAGGTCTGTGCCTACATGTTTGATATACACAGCGATGGTGCTTCTGGGGTCTGCAAAAGCTCTAGAAAGCTGCACAGTGAGGATAACGGCTTTTCTTCAAAAACAACAGCAGCAAATGCTCTTCTAGCAGTTTTCCTGCTCCTAGTGTTCAGAATCCCAGACTACAGCCCTGGGTGCCTGGGGTAAGGAAGACACTTGCAATATTTTCTTCCCTTATTGCCTACATCCAGGGGTTATCAAACCATGGCCAGAGCTTTTTGATTTAACCTCAGCTGTTTTGGGCTGTTGTCGCTGGCAATCAAACATTAGTAGAAGACAGAAAATCTTGAGTTGCATTCTCCTGCATTTACCTGGTGTGTTTGTGAGAGAGTCCCAGGCACCACAGGCATCAGCCCCATAGTGTGCACTGAGAGTGTGGGAGGAGGAGTCTGCTTCCCTCCCGTTCAGGTGTTTGGCTTGGTAAGTCTTCTTAGTGTGGCTCATCAAACAGAACATCCTCTGGATTTCTGTTTCCTTTTTTAAAGGAAAAAGCAAAATATTTTACTTTTTTAAAGGAAATCCTTACAACTCTTTAAATTCAGGAAAAAAAATTAACTTGGCAGTGGGTCTGTATATCCATCATGCACGTTGTCATTTTCTCTTTCATTATTCATTATTATTGAGAAAAATTGTTTTTCTTTCTTTTCTTAAAAGTTCATTTTATTAGAGTAAAATTTCATCATTTAACTTCTAATCAAGAAATCAAATGGATGTGTCCAAAGCAGGTATAGTTTGTGTAGTCTTTGAAGTGTATGTGGGGTTTTGTTGGCCAGTTGACTGGAAGAAAAAAGATTATTTTTGGCTTGTTCCCTAGAAGCTTGCCTGTTCAGGGGTCAACAAAACTGTAAGAACAGGCGGTACATTATTTACTTTGTCAACTGGTTCCTACGGGTAATTAATCCATCACTTAGCTTCACTGAGCCTTAGCAAAGTGCTTTCCTACACAATCACCTCCTGAAACAAAAGAGCACAGTAAAATACAAAATCTCTGACGTGAAATACTAAATCTGTGAGGTAGGGATTTTACATGAATAGATATCTTAAGTGTTGGAATTTAAATATCTCAAATAGCTGGCAATTGGACAGGCTTATCTTCATCTTCCCCGCTGGACCAAAAGCTGGGTATTGATTAGTCTTGAGTATTTTCCGTAGTTGTGCTAGGAGTGATGTGGGGTGAAGATATCAATGTCCAATCTTTTAGTTACATTTTGTGAGTAGTCTGGTCTTTGTTTTATTGTATTCCAAATTACATTTTATTGGTCGGGGATAAGGAAACTATGGTAACCGCATTATTCTTAGCCGCCTTGGAAGAAGCAGCTTTCAAATAAACAGAGAAGGTTGAAATGCATTTTTAAGGCATTTGGCAGACCAAGTGTTGCATTAAAAAACAAAACACCCAACCACTGAGTTTTAGCTCATTTTGGATCAAGAGAAAATGGTTTTGAAATAAAAAATAAACCTTTCATAAAACTAGAATAATCTATTGGCAAGAAGACTAGGGGGATAAAAGAAAGCTGGGAAGGTTGTATAGAACCCACCTAAGAAGATCAGCATGAGACTGTGTAAGAGCCAAGAAAAATCAATCAAAAAGTAATAATAAGGGTTTGGGATGAGAAAAGAGGCAGGGGAAGTCCTTTTCTTGGGGCATCTGTTTGACATTCTTTCAAATGCATTCTTGATGCTCGTGAAAAGAGGCTTTTTGTGTTTAGGTTGTACTTGGTGGAGTTTACTTTGTGTTTGTTCCAGATAAAGACCCTATCCTTGTATCTTTTTGCTTCCACAGTATAATTAGATAAAATGTGGCAAGAGAAAAATATATACTGCAAATGCATTATGGTTCTGTCCTTCCAGTGCAAAGATATTATGTATAGGACAGATCTATCTTCAAGCTTCACGAAATGTGTTATATGTAGACTGAAGTCGAGAACAGGAGCGATTAAGCATATAAAAAGCCCGCCTGTGCAGCTCTCAAGTGATCATGGTGATAATGAGGAAAACTATACTGCTTATCAAGTAATTGGCCTGGGCGAGTAGGCTTAGGCCTGTTTGCTTGGAAATATCTGATGTGTACAAAGGGTTTTTTCTGTCACACTGTGTGAAGGGTCCACGTGGCTCTGTGCTTTGGAAGAAATGCTATTGCAGTTCAACATGGGGAGTGTTTAGCCCCTTGCAGCCCTATATGAACAGTACCATCCACATCTTGTGAAAGGGAAGCACTAACTGTTTGGAAAATAGCAGCAAGACTTCCTGATTTTTTCCTTATCTCTTATGGCTCTATGTTTGATAAGTTTGGAATTTGGTATGTGAAGTCTTGCTCCTGAGGAAATGCCCGACTCATTGGCTTCAGCAGGCCAGGATTTTATCTAAGACATGCAACACCATTGCCTTATGTTTTAAAGTGACAATATTGTAGTATGTTACAGATGTTTGTGCTAACCAGTGCTTGTTGACAGGGTACAATTAGGCTAATTGGTTCCAACATATATGTTTCTGATTTAAGAGTCATTCGTACAGAAAAATATTCAGGAACTGGAACAAACAATACATCTGCCGTGTACCAAGGGCAGCAGATACCTTGTCTTACCGAGCCGTGTACAGCTGGGACTGTTGAGTCTCTAAAGCATTAGTCTTGTGCTAAACTCTTTGATCACTCACTGGGAAGTTGTTCCAGGCTCATCCCGTGCTCCTCCAAGCACAACCAATTTTAAACAAGACAGACATGTAAACTGGTTTTTGTTTGTTTGTTTTTTTAAACTAAACACAAAACAAACCCCCAAACTCATAAAACGTTAATGCAGATGAAATCAGAACAACATATTTTAATTTTGTTAAACATGAATAATATCCTTCATAGCATTTTTCACATTATCTCTCTACATTCCAATTAATACAAATCTCTTGTGTACCATATGAGGACAAATTTCAAAAGACAGTAAAAAAATTAAATAGAGCTATGAAATGTTATCATCCCCTTTTTTAAGAGTACAGAATAGGTTGAAAAAGCTATGATTGCAACTGATTTCCAGACTGAAACAGAATTAAAATTATTGATCATATGGAAGCAATATATAACATTCCTGTGTAATCTGGGAGAGGAGATTTATTACCACTTTTATGTCTTAATGTGAGTATGTAGCTCTCCCAACTGATACTAAAGCAAATAGAAACCAGTTAACAAATATCCCCCCCCCCCTTTTTTTTCCGGTGGGCTCAATTCCCGCTTTTGTGTTGCGTATTTCTGCAACCAAGGTTGACAACTGTGGTCCAGAAGCAGCAATTATGATTGATTTGCAGTGTACTGTATAAAGCTCAGTGCTGTCAAGGACAAGAAATAATGTTCCCCGATGGACGTAAATCTTTACTGGATCTGAGTTTTTGGTACCGAGTGCTTGCATAACTTTGTATAGGGATCACATGTGAATGTTCAGGGTATGGAATCAGAATTGTAACTTCTTTTACTGCCTGATGGATTTAGTGTTTACAGTTCTAAGGTCATTTCAGAGGGCTTTTTTGCAATGGATTAAAAGAAAATCAGTATATTCAAATGCTCTATAGCAATTATGTCTCATCAAACATCATGATCAGGAGCTAAGTGGTCCTGGGGGTCACCAGAGCCATACATCTGCTTTCTACCACAGGCAGCTGTGGCTGCTCTGAGCCACTTTCTCATGCCCTTGTCAGTGTTAGGACTTGATCGTCCCCTGTACAAGGTATCCTCCCCCAGTAGGCTGAAGAGGGGGTGATGGAAGTCAGTGCAGCTCACTCAGCGCTGTGGATTGTCATTATCTGAGGAAAGACTATCTTGCAAGTGGATATTGGGGGTTTGGGGTTTTTTTGTGGTGTTGGGGGTTTTTTTTGGTTTTTGGTGGTTTTTTTTTTTTTGAAAGGTGGGAGAAATGGGATAAGCTTTCACACTTGCAGTCATGCAGTGAGCCCTTAGCAATCCAAATGCTTGTTTCCACACGTATGTGTGATGTGTGGGTAGGTAGCTCCCATACATATATGATATGGTCCGTAGCATACATGCAGACCAACAGCAGGTGTTCAATCCACACAGAACCATTTCTATAAAATGT